GACCGGTAAGGGGATCTCAACCCTTGACTTGGTGTTGTCAGCACCACGCTCACCCAAGTGACTTAACTGGCCATCCCTACATGGGATCCAAACCTGTGGCCTTGGTGTTGTCAGCACCGCACTCTCCCAAGTGAGCCACGGGCTGGCTCCTATGTTATCTTTTTGCTGATTTACTCACCTTCAACTGTTCAGTGGCCTGACCCTGCCGGTCTCCCTGGTCTGCAGCTCTCCCCGGCACTGGGACAGGCTGCCTGCACCCTACCTGGCCACACAAGGTCCTGCCTCCTCACCCAGTTCACNCTCAGGCAGAGGCGAGGGATGCAGGTGTTCAAGGGAGATGCTGTGGCCTGCAAGGGAGTGGTTCCCAGATGTGCGGGGACCCAGGTGGGCTCAGGGGACATGTACAGGTCATCACCACCATGTCCACCTAGACTTCCCAAATCCAAGGCATGGTAGTCACAAATTTAATAGAGAGAATAAGGAAATAAGATAGATGTAGGAGCCTTGATGAGGCCATTCATCCCTGGTGATCTAGAAGGTTCTGTGCATGTGCAGGGCNGCTCAGAGGACCCCCTCCTAGGGCTGTTGTAAGGACAGTGGGGTGAGCCGTGGAAAGAGCCGCCATGCCCGGCCCTGTGGGACATGCTGTCCCGAGTGCTGCTGCTTCTTGCTCCTGATTTTCCGTCCCCGTGGAGACGCTCTCTGCCTGCAGCGTCCCTCACACGTGGCCTCGGGCAAAGCGGTTTCCCATTCGTAGAGGAGGTTCCAGGTTCCATGTGAGGGTCCCTGTCTGTCCTGGGTGTAGCCAGAGCAGGGACACCTGGGACTGGCCGAGGTGCCCCAGGCCCACTCAGTAACCTGAGAATGAGCTGGTTACAGCTCATTCATTCAGCAAACATACACGAAGCGCCTACTGTATGCAGGCACTTCCAGGCACTTAGCGTGATTCAGTGAAGGGAGCAGACAGTCCCTGCCCTCCGGGGCTTCCCTTCTAGTCGAGGCGTCACCCAGTCCCACTAGTGCTCCTGGCAGGCAGTGGACACAGGGCGTTAGACGTGATGCCCTCCTGACCTCCTCTAGGTACGGCTTCTTCTGCCCTGACCGTGAGGAGGACGACCAGCNTGACAACACCAAGTCAAGGGTTAAGATCCCCTTACTGGTCATCTTTAAAAAAACAAACAAAGGTAACACAGGGCAGCCAGGCCAGGGCAGCTCAGGCCAGGCCACCGCCAGCCTCTAGCTGGTGACAGGGGTGACCCACTCCACAGTCTCAATCCCAGGGGTCCGGGCCTCCTCCCTTCCCCCACCACCACGTCCCCCCAGCCTGTCCAAGTGCAAGGTCACTTCTCACACACCTTTAGGAACATCCAGGAACACACCGTGCGCTGTCCTTGTCCTCACTTCCATTCTGGTGACAGGGGCTCTGAGTTTTGCTACTGATTTTGTGTGATCTGCTCTTCCTTGTCCCACCCAGGATGAAAATGAGACAGCCCAGGCCCTGGATGACACCTGCAGGGTGGGGACCGTCACGGCAGGCACCCTGGAGAA